AGGGAGAGATCGGGAGGATGGGACCGGGAGCTGGGAAAAGCTGGGAATTATGGGGAAGAGCGCTTGTGATTCGGGCAATTATTTGGCCAATGCATTCTAATAAGGTCGCTGTTTCTCTTCCTCATGTAAGGTATCCATGTCGCTGGTTTTCTCCAGGCACATGCACGCACACATTCACACACACACACACACACACACACACACACACACACACACACACACACACACACACACACACACACACACACGCACGCACGCACGCACGCGTACGCGAACGCGCACGCTCACGCACGCGAACGCGCACGCGCACACACGCATGCACTCATAATGAACTTGCTCTTGTGCCTTCTCATCGTTTGCCCCACACACCCCTTTCTCTGAATCCACTCGCCTGTTTGCAAACAACGCACGTGCGGTCTCAGATGGGTGGAAACGGGTCCAGGGGAGTTCTCAGGTGTCGTGGCCAACCGCCTGGTCACCCTGCGGCAGGTGTGTGTGCAGGCGGGCCATATGTTGCAAAAATTGAATCCTCTTGACTTAGCTTACGCAGAAAAATCTCAAAACATGCTGACACCATTTCTCGTTCCAAGGCCCACCAGCAGCACAATGCAACACCCACCCACAAGGACCACGCACAACGCACGAGCACCATGCACCACGCACCACTCACCACCCACCACCACGTACCTCTACCACCCCTTCTCCACCACCCGTGCGTTTTTTTTTTCTCCTTGACTTCCCGCCCCTCTAGCCTGTGCCTCTGGGCCCAGTCTCGGTGTGCATCCACTCCCCCACTCCCCCGACCAAAGAGGAGCTAGGGGGGGACCAGGGGGGGAGGCAAGAAGAAGGGCGTTCTGATGCGTCTGTGAAGGTTGCCGATGGCGCGTTGTCGATGGTACAAGGGCATGTGAGGGAACAAGGAAAGGATGGGGCAACGCGGGAAGCAGACGGACGAGAAGAGGGAGGAGCAAGAGAAGAGCAGGATTCGGCCGTTCTGAGAACAATGACTGCGAATGGGACTGATGCTGCTGCTGCTACTTCTTATCCAAGTCAAGAGTCGGGTTGTGAAGCAGCAGTGATGGCTGCTTTGGAAGATCTTCTTCACCTCCATGTGAACACACTCGACCTGTGAGTTTGACTTTTGAGTCGACTCAAAAGTCACCTGAACACACTCGACCTGTGAGTTTGCTGAATGTCTGGCTGGCAACTGTTGGCTGCTTTCTTGCATGTAATAAGGGTTTTTTTTGTCTCTCTGTTTTTCCGCAGATTGTCTTGAAACGTACCACGACCATTGATCCTTTATTGCTGCCAAGCACTGCATTCCTTCCTTCTCCTGCTGCAACCACTGCTTTTGCTTGTGCCGTTGCCGTTCCCGGAAATTCCGCAATCTGCCGAGTGTGTGGAGTTTGCAAAGCATTCAAGCACCCCCTTTTATTCCACTGCCACTGCCTGCCACCACTACCACTCCCACCACCGCCATCACCACCGCAGGTACCGTCAGTTTGCCGAGTGCGACACACACTTCGCGTCCCTCCTCCCCATGATCACCGGCTACAGGATACTTCGACAGGTGAGCCCCTTTTTACTTTTGAGATGTCTCAAAAGCCCTTTGACAGGTCTTGATTCTCCGACAGGTGAGCCCTTTTTTGTTTGAGCTGACTCAAGAATCCGACTGGTGACCCCCCCGTTCTCCTCTCCTCTCCCTCTTAACCACATATATGCTGTAGTTTCTTCTCTTTTGAACACTTACCCTTGAAACCATTTCTCATCCTCATCGCCTGTTGTATGAGTATCTGGAGAGGCGACCTCTCAAATAGGCCGCAAAAGCCATCATCGCCTGCCAAGCACTCTTTTGCTCCTTTCGCCTGCCTTCGCATGCAGCCGTCTCATGCCATGCTTCAGACTTTAATCCACTCTCCAGGTTTGAGGATCAAACATGCTACAGTCCGAAGTATGGCATTTGACGGCTCCATTCCAAAAGGCACCTTACCCACTTGGTTGTCTAGATCAACATCCCTGGATAATGATTCAATCCTCTCTGCCTTGCCTAGACTCAGGTGCTATGTCGGGATCTCCTCCTCTCCTCTTTTTCACGGTACACAAAACCCCAAACCCAAAACCGGAAATCCTCTCTCTGCCTCTCTCCTTACCCGTCCACGCCCCACCCACTCCTGCCCTCTACTACCCCTGGGTGCCACGGAGCAGGAGCCAGTGGAGTGTCTCTTTCAGTTCATCTGCTCCTCCAACAACCACATCTCCAGAATATCATGTATGCTACCTCCTAGCCTTGCTTCCCTCTTCCTCCCTCCTTCCCTCCCTCTCTCCTTCCCTTCACTCTCTCCATCTCTCCCTTTCCGCCTCCACCCCTCTTTTCACACCTTCTTTCGCTCCTCCATCCCATTCCTCCCGTTTCACACCTTTCCTTTGGCCGCCCCTTGGTGAGAATCTCTCTGAAGCTAACCGGCCATGGCTCCTCAAGGCTGTTCCAGCCTTCCACCAGTTCCTCTCTTCATTACCCTGAATGCGTGCATAGAGGACTCAAGTTTATAGTGGAGTAGCAGCAAGCCTGAAAAAAAACGCTTAAGCAACACAGGAACGAGACTGAAAAATTGCTTCCTAAAAAAATCAGGTACTTGAATTCCTTCAAGTTCTCCACTATGAACTTGAATCTTCATTCCCCTGATTGCATGCATGGAGCACTGCATGATTCCGGAGCACACCAGCCCCCCACCACTCCCTTCCCGCCCTTCCACTCCCCTTCTATCCCCTCTTCTCTTCCCCCATCCTCTCCCCCCATTCTCCACCCCTGGCCTCTACCATGCCTGCAAATCCACAGCCATGGTGGAGGTGTTGTCACAGCAGGGTCCCCTCGTATCCACCATCAACGGTCGCCCATTCCATGCCTTCCCCTCGCTGCACCGCCTCTCCTCGCTCTCAGAGCTCTACTTGAGGGAGCGCGGCTTTGGCTACCGAGCAGCATTCATAGTACAGACTGCATGCCAGCTTCACCAGAGTATGTGGTGCTGTGCCGTGCGGTGCTGTGCTGAGCCGTGCGGTGCTGTGCCGTGCGGTGCTGTGCTGTGCCGTGCGGTGCTGTGCCGTGCGGTGCTGTGCTGAGCCGTGCGGTGCTGTGCCGTGCTGTGCTGTGCCGTGCTGTGCTGTGCTGTGCTGTGCCATAATGTGCTGTGCTATGCTATAGTGTGCTGTTCTGTGCCCATACGTTTCCACGCATTTCTCTTCCCCTCAATCTTCCACCCCTCCCCTCCCCCTCGTCCCCCACTTTCTCTCCACACACAGTGCAAGCCACAAGCGGCACGAGCGCCAGTGAGTGGTTGCAGGCAATGCGGAAGCAGGCATGGCAGGAGGTGGAGCGACAGCTATGTGTGTTGCCAGGCGTGGGCCCCAAGGTGGCGGCGTGTGTGGCGCTGCTCTCGCTGGACCAGCATGCTGCCGTGCCCGTTGACACTCACGTCTGGCAGGTGCGCTGTGCTGTGTGGTCTGATGCGGTGCTGGGTGGTGAGGTGCAGCATGCTGCTGTGCCTGTTGACACTTACGTGGGGGTTGGGTGTGCTGCCTGGTGATGTGCGGTGCTGAAGGGTGTTAAGTGGTGTGCTGCTGGGTGCTATGAGGTGCAGTTCTGGGTGGTAAGCTGCGGTGCCTGCAGTCTACTCAAAGCTCACTCCACTCAACTCAACCCCCCACCCTCCCACGCCTCCTCTCTCCCCCATCCATCTGGCTCAGAGGCACTACACGAGCAGCATCAATGGCAGACACTGACTGCACGCGTGCGGGTGCAGCTGACGCAGACACTGGAGCAGGTGTTTGGGCCCATGTGTGGCTGGCTGGGTTGTGAACGCTATGTGCACCACAGGGCAGAAGCCCCATTCTCCTCAGGCAACCACTCTCTTGAGTCAACTCAAAAGTCACTCCACGTCAACCTCTCCGTCCCCCCTTCTCCCCCATCCAGCTGGCTCAGAGGCACTATGCGAGCAGCATCAATGGCAAGACGCTCACTGCGCGGGTGCGAGTGCAGCTGACACAGGCGCTGGAGCAGGTGTTTGGGCCCATGTGTGGCTGGGCTGTCAACGCCATGTTTGCCTCTGAGCTGCCTGCTGTCAAGGCACGCTTTGCTGCTGCACGCCCTGCCACAAGCAGCACGCCTTTGAAAGAAGAGAAAACCGTTGTTTCGGACTGTACTACTGCTTGACTCATAAGAAGTATGCTGAGTTATTGGTTTCCACAATTGTGGATGTGGTAGTTCCACAAATTAGTATCCTCCCCCATCTAGTGTGGATGGTAGTGGTTATGATTCAATAAAAAAATGATGTCTGGTGTGCTAGAAAGGCATACCGGTGCCGACGTAGCGGAAGCTTGCTTCCAACATGGTGATTGTTGTTTGATATATGTGGTGCAGGTTTATGTGTGTGACAACTTCAAGCTTTAGCTTACTGTGGAAAAGAAAAGCATTACTATACATGCAAAGAAATGCTTGCAGACTAACAAGTGCACGTAAAAGAAAAACAATCATGCAGAAGAGCGAAAGCCAGACAAGGCGAGGTCCATAATATACATAGGGAGACCAAGGTTGAAGAGAAGAATAGACAAGGCAATGGCAGTGGCCAGGCAACCAGGAACAGCTGCCAGCAGCTGCTGCAATGGTAGAAGCTACAGTACAACCAACCAAGGCCAGGAAACAAACACGAAGGTGACGACCCGAATATAGGGAGTTGAAAGAGGTGGGGATGGGTTGGGAATTGGGTCGGGATGGGATAGCCTAGACCCATATGATGGTCCAGATGCAGACACTGTAAGTCGCCGTTTGCTGTTGCTGCCGACATTACTGCTGCTGCTGCTGCTGCTGCTGCTATTGCTGTTCCCACAAAGTATCGCTCCTGCTACGGGATATCAAAGCAAGGCATGTGAAGCCAGCAGCCCAATTTTAACAGCCACAGGGAACAAGTATGTCACGTCACACCCTCCACCTCACCTCCTCCTCACCCTCACACCCAAGCCCCTTGCAGCCCCCTCTCATCGTGCAACACCAGCGGGTTACCCATGCCTCTCTCCGCCAGAGCAATCAGCCAGCGGGTAACAGCAGGGCCGGAGGCGCTGAGACGACCCCCGTTGGATGCAGAGGAGCGGAAGGGCGAGGCAAGTGCAGACAGGCACGCCTCCACCTGTGCCTTGATCACGCTTGTTCCCACCACCTTGCTGTGCCTCCCCCATCCTGTCAGCACACTGCAGGACATGGAGAGGGTTGGGGAAGGAGAGGTGGACGGGGAAGGGGGAGGGGAAGGGAAGGGAAGGGGGAGGGGAAGGGAAGGGAAGGGGGAGGGGAAGGGAAGGGAAGGGGGAGGGGAAGGGAAGGGAAGGGGGAGGGGAAGGGAAGGGAAGGGATGGGGATTAGATCAGAAATGCCCCCACCTGTGTCTTTGAATGCACTTGTTCCAACCACATTGCTGTGCCGCCCCTATCCTGTCACTACGGAGGCAGTGCGAGGGGGTGAGGAAGGGAAAGAGTTTGGTGCGAATCCTCACACAAGGAACAGTTGCGCATGGACATAAAAGAACGGCATTTCTAGGAGCCCAGGCGTTTGGTTCTACCCTTACCACTTGCCTGGCTGGTGTGCTAAGATCCACTCACTTAAGAAGCCGGGGTAGCGGGTTGCTGCTGTTACCACCACCAGCACCGGCACCGGCACCGCTGCTGCTACTGCTGCTGGCGGCATTGTTGGCACTGGTGGTAGCGGCAGAGGTGGATCCAGGGTGGGAGGAGAGCACAAGCTGCTGCAAGTCGAGCAGCCAGAGGTGGAGCATGGCCATGGCAGCACCGACGGACATGAGGTGCAGGTCCAACACCCACTCCTGCGCCTCCGCCTTGCTCCACACCGCCCCCTCGTACACCCCCACTCGCCGCGCCCCCCGCGTCACCCTCACCGCTTGCACCCTCTGTTACCCAGGGGAGGAGTTGCAGGGGGGGATGCGCGGGAAAAGAGGGAAAGACGTGAGATGTTGGTGAGGAATCCATGCACTCGTGTGATGAGATGTACATTTGATGTGCTTTTCACTAAATGCTTAAAAAGCCAACACGGTCGTCAGCCTTTCCCCCCTAGATGAAAACAAGACCCGAGTGTGCTGTGCTTGAGTGGCATCTCAAATCTCTAAAAACTGCATGCAAATCTCTAAAAACTGCATGCAAAGCTCTAAAAACTGCATGCAAAGCTCTAAAAACTGCATGCAAAGCTCTAAAAACTGCATGCAAAGCTCTAAAAACTGCATGCAAAGCTCTAAAAACTGCATGCAAAGCTCTAAAAACTGCATGCAAAGCTCTAAAAACTGCATGCAAAGCTCTAAAAACTGCATGCAAAGCTCTAAAAACTGCATGCAAAGCTCTAAAAACTGCATGCAAAGCTCTAAAAACTGCATGCAAAGCTCTAAAAACTGCATGCAAAGCTCTAAAAACTGCATGCAAAGCTCTAAAAACTGCATGCAAAGCTCTAAAAACTGCATGCAAAGCTCTAAAAACTGCATGCAAAGCATGCAAAGCATGCAGTACCTGGTTGAATCGCCAGAGCAGGTCGTTGAGAGCGTTGAAGAAGGCGATGGAGGTGGAGGAGTCGAGCGCTGCCACTGCTGCAAACAGCTGCCCCACCTCGCCCCGTGACAGCACCCGCACTCCCTTCACCAGCTCCCCACCACCACCACTGCTGCTGCTACTACTGACGCTGACGCTGCTGCTGTTGTTGCTGCTGCTGCTGCTCAGAGTCTTGCAGTTCTGTGCCTCTCCCCGCACCTGCTTGCTCTCCTTCTCTCGCTCGTCCTCCTCTCTCTCCCCAGCATCCGCGTGCACGCACCCATGCAGCATAGCCTCCGCAAGCACGTACACCCCTGCACTCGCCTCACTGCTGCTTGCAGACCCGCCACAAGCACTTGCAGCAGCTGTGGCAGTGGCAGCAGTAGTCGTGGTGGTGGTGGTGGCAGTGGAGGCAGGAACGGCAGCGGCTTCAAACGTGGTCCCCATCTCGCGAAGGAGCAGGGCCGCGTCTCGCCAGTTGGAGAGACGGCTGAGGGAGGCGTGCGTGAGAGAGAAGCAGAAGCGGAGGGGGAAAGTGGGGAATATGGAGGAAGGGATGGGTCGAGACAGAGAACGGGAAGCGTGCGCAAGGAGAGCAAAAGGGACAAGACAGGAAAGAAAGAGAGGGAGGAGGTGGAGGGAGCAGAGGGAAGGGGGGATCGACGAGAGAGGGGATTGGGGACGAATTGGCAGGCAGAGCAGACACAGACACCCGCAGCGTAGGCGTTGCTCATAAAAAATCCTCAACCAGCAAGTCCATTATACAAGGCGCACAGCAGCAGAACAGTCTATCGCACATAGAGAGCAAACAGAGAACAAACAGGGAAGGTGGAGAGCATGAAAGAGAAGGTTTTTAAGTCGACTCAAAAAGCACACCCACCTGCAGGTCGAGAGCATGGCAGAGAAGGTGACGACGTTGGGGCGAACACCCGCTGCCTTCATCTCTCGGAACATGCGCAGTGCTGCCTCCAATCGCACCTCCCTCCTCCCCTCCTCCTCTTCCTCCTCCGCAGCCTCCGCATCCTCTGCATTCTGCTCATGTGTCTTTGCCCCCCCGACCTCCTCCCTCCTCTTACCACCCTTGCCCCGCGCCTCGCTTGGCTGTGAAGACGCTGTCACCTGGTTGAGGGACCAAACACCGCATGCAGAATGGCACAGCTTGTGCAGGTGAGCTGACGAGTCAATGAGCATGTGAGGGTGTAAACCAGCGGGCGTGGACAAGGTTGGACACATGCATGCACACCCGTGACCCGTGTAGAAGAGTGAACATGAGAGATTGAAACGCAACAACAGAACAAAACGGAAGGCAGCGGAGGAGGAAAGGTAAGGCGGGCGTGGGGAGGGAGGGACGACCATACCTGGGTGGAGCGGCCGAGGGCATCAATGAGTGAGTTGTATGTGACCACGTTGGGCTGCACACCGTCGTGCAGCATCTGGCGAAACACACTCATGGCCTCCTCCACCTTGCCCTGCTTGCCATGCGCGTCTATGATCGCACTGTACACCACCACGTCCACCTGCTCACATGGCACGGCACAGACGTATGCACGTACACATGAGATTTAACATGCGCGCAAAAAAACACATAAGCATGCACATGAAATACATCCCACCTGCAGCCCCATGTCGCGGTACTGCTGGAAGAGCGCCGCTTGAAGCATCTGAACTGAACCCCCCAGCAGCTGTCCTGCAGCTGGCCGTTGGAGGGCATCTGAAAAACAACCCACCTGCAGCCCCATGTCGCGGTACTGCTGGAAGAGCCCTGCCGCCTCCTGGTGAATATGTCAGGTTTGCTTGCTGCTACTCCACTATGAGCCTGAATCCTTAAGAATACTGAGGGGAGAGGCTTGCCGTGAACCCCTACCTGCAGCCCCATGTCGCGGTACTGCTGGAAGAGCGCTGCCGCCTCCTGGCGCCTGCCCGAGTGAACACCAGTTACGTGCCATGGATCTTTACGTGGCAGACTTCTTGTGTAGAAATCTTCTCACCTGCAGCCCCATGTCGCGGTACTGCTGGAAGAGCGCGGCCGCCTCCTGGTGCCGGCCAGCGCAGGACAGCGCAGTGACAACGGCAGACAGCGTGAGCACGTTGGGCGTGAGGCCCTGGCGCTTCATGGCGTGGAAGAGGCGCGTCACCTTGTCGCAGCTGTCCTGCTGCTGGCCGTACGCGTCCAGCAGCGCATTGTGAAAGCAAAAGGAGGGGGTGGGGGGAAAGGGCAGGGAAGAGGAAGGGAGAAAGCAAAAACCGAAACAGAAACCCACCTGCAGGCCCATGTCTCGGTACTGCTGGAAAAGCGCCGCCGCCTCCTGGTGCCTTCCCGCGCGGGACAGGGCAGTCACAACCGCCGACAGCGTGAGGACATTAGGCGTGAGCCCCTGGCGCTTCATGGCGTGGAAGAGCCGCATCACCTCGTCGCACCGCCCCGCCTTGCCGTACGCGTCCAGCAGCGCGTTGTGTGCCACCACATCCAGCCGCCACCCCGCTGCTTCCATCTCGCGGGCGACAGCTATGGCTTCATTCAGCCGGCCCGCCTTGCCGTAGATGTCCAGCAGTGTGTTGTAGGTCACCCTGGGAAGGGGGAAAGGGGAGGGGAAGGGAGAGTTGGAGTTGTCAAGGAGTGGAAGTGGTGAACGAGGAGGATGGAAGGGTTATGGATTGGCTCCTGGCACCTCGTCGCACCGCCCCGCCTTGCCATCACGTCCAGCCGCCACCCCGCCGCCTCCATCTCGCGGGCGACTGCTGTGGCTTCGTTCAGCCTCCCCGCCTTGCCGTAGATGTCCAGCAGCGTGTTGTAGGTCACCCTGGGAAGGAAGGGGGGAAGGGAGGAAGGGGTTGAGTTGAACATGAAGGCGAGTAAAACAAGCACTTCTGGCAGCCGCCCTGCCATGCTGTCGATATGTGCGAGGAGCGGGCAAAGAGCGTGGTGAGAGCGTGCAAGGAGTGTGTGGTGTGGTTGTACCTGTCGGGGCGCACCCCTGCGTGCTGCATGGTGTGGAACATGTTGATGGCGCTCGACAGGTCGTTCCCCTTGCGATACCCGTCTATCATCGTGCTGAACGTCACCTGTAGGCACCATGCATGCATGCACGCATGAGGACACAGGCAGACACACATGCACGCACGAGGGCACACAGGGAGACACACGGACACATATGTTTGAGAATTCAAGAGAGAGAGAGAGAGAGAGAGAGAGAGAGAGAGAGAGAGAGAGAGAGAGAGAGAGAGAGAGAGAGAGAGAGAGAGAGAGAGAGAGAGAGAGAACCAGGCCTGGCGGCAGGAAGAGGAAAGGTAAATTCGCGTATGTACATGTTCGATTGGGGGGAATGGGGGGGTTGTGGGTTGGTTGGAGAGGTGGGAAGAGGAGGAAAGAACGGGAGTGAGAAGCACCGCATTGCATTGAACCACACCTTACTACACTGCACAGCACTGCACTGTATTCCACTGATGGTTAACTAGCAGTCTACAGCAACGCACCACGTTGGGCGTGACGTCCGACTGGGCCATGGAGGCAAAGGCAGCAGCAGCAGCGTCCATCTGGGACGCCTTGCAGAGCGCGTCGATGAGCGTGTTGAAGGTGAATATGTCCCGCACCAACGCCACCGCCCCCGCCTCCTCGCCCCCCTCCTTCCCCCGCCGCCTCCCGCTCTGCCCCTGCTGCTCCTTCCTCCCGCCCCGGGAACCCGCTGCCGCTGCTGCAGCAGCAGGAGCAGGAGCAGAAGCAGAAGCAGTGGAATCAGCACTGCCCGCAGTAGCAGCAGCAGCAGCATTAGTGGCAGCGGCACAGGCTTCTTGTCCCATTAGTTCGAACACTCGTAGCGCCTCCTGCCACTGCCCTGCCCTGCTGCACACCGCCATGAGCGAGTTGTACGTTATCTGGGGTCCAAGAATGGGGCTCCCACACACACGCACGCACGAGCACGACCACACGGGGAACACACAAGGAAAGGGGAAGAGAAACAGTATCAGTGGCGCTGCAACACAAATCAGGGAGGAATTCCCCTCGAAACGGCATAGAAATGGCATAGAAACCACTGCACATCTCAATCACTCCTCCTCTCCACCCACCACCACCTCTCTTCGTTTTCGCCCTCCCCCTTCCCTCCCCCTGCTCCCACCCTCCAACCATCCCTGCACCCATCCCCCACCCATCCCCGCACCGCTCCCACCCTTCCACCCGCTCTCTCACCCGGTCAGGCACAACGCCAAGCTCCTTCATCTCATGTACCAGCGCCCATGCGAGCGCCACCTAGAGGTCTCAAAAACCTCCATATATCCCTGCACCTACCCTGCATACATACCCGCACCCATCCCCCATCCGCCCACCCGCCCTCTCACCCAATCAGGTGCGATGCCAAGCTCCTTCATCTCGTGCACCAGCGCCCATGCGCGCGCCACCTAGAGGTCTCAAAAACCTCCATCTATCCCTGCACCCACCCTGCATGCATCCCCGCACCCACCCACCCACCCACCCACCCCTCCACCCGCCCTCTCACCCGGTCAGGTGCGATGCCAAGCTCCTTCATCTCGTGCACCAGCGCCCATGCGCGTGCCACCTAGAGGTCTCAAAAACCTCCATCTATCCCTGCACCCACCCTGCATGCATCCCCGCACCCACCCACCCACCCACCCACCCCTCCACCCGCCCTCTCACCCGGTCAGGTGCGATGCAAAGCTCCTTCATCTCGTGCACCAGCGCCCATGCGCGCGCCACCTAGAGGTCTCAAAAACCTCCATCTATCCCTGCACCCACCCTGCATGCATCCCCGCACCCACCCACCCACCCACCCACCCCTCCACCCGCCCTCTCACCCGGTCAGGTGCGATGCCAAGCTCCTTCATCTCGTGCACCAGCGCCCATGCGCGCGCCACCTAGAGGTCTCAAAAACCTCCATCTATCCCTGCACCCACCCTGCATGCATCCCCGCACCCACCCACCCACCCACCCCTCCACCCGCCCTCTCACCCGGTCAGGTGCGATGCAAAGCTCCTTCATCTCGTGCACCAGCGCCCATGCGCGCGCCACCTAGAGGTCTCAAAAACCTCCATCTATCCCTGCACCCACCCTGCATGCATCCCCGCACCCACCCACCCACCCACCCCTCCACCCGCCCTCTCACCCGGTCAGGTGCGATGCCAAGCTCCTTCATCTCGTGCACCAGCGCCCATGCGCGTGCCACCTCCGCCTCGCCCGCGCCAGCAGCGCCGCCCGCCTTGGCGCACGCGTCAATGGCTGCGTTGTACGTGACCAGGTTGGGGAGGCACCCTGCGTCCCTCATGCTGCGCAGCAGCGCCAGTGCATCCGTGCTGCGCCCACTGCGCCCTGCACTCGCGAGGGGCGAGGGGAGGAATTGGACAGACGGCATGGGGAAGGGGGAAGAGAGGGGCTATTGCTATAGCAACGACAGCTACAGCCACAGACACAGCCACAAAAGCAACAACAGCAGCAGCAGCCGCAGGCTAGCAGCTAACAAAAAAAAGAGCCTCCTAGCAAGCAGCTCACCACTCACTCTCACCGTAGGCGCAGGATGAGTAAACGTTGGGGGGCACTCCACAGGCGATCTTTGAAGCAACCTCAATAATCAGTTGTAGGGGCGTCCTCCTAGCAAGCAGCTCACCACCCAATCGCTCACCATAGGCGCTGATGAGCGCGGAGAAGGCGTAGACGTTGGGCGGCACTCCAAAGGCGCGGGCGCGGTCAAAGACGCGGCGAGCGGCGTCCACCTGGCCGTGGCGGCCCAGCACTGCAATCGTGGTGCTCACCAGCTTCGCCCAGTCGCCCGCCCCTCCCCGCCCTCCCCGCTTCACCCGCGGACTCTCCTGGGGGAGGGCGGAACAAGGAGGAGGACATGAGAGGGGACAGGGGTATGGTGATAGGGATGGTGGGATGCGTGGATGGGTCAATCGATTGGTGGATATGGGGTGAGGGAGAGCGAGAGCGAGAGGGTGCAGAGAAAGCATGCTCGAATCTGCTCACGTGTCAAACCCACACACTCACGAGCAGCCAGTTGAAGCAAGCGAGAGTCTTCTGCCACTGCCCTCGGTTCCCCAGCTCCCTGAATATATACGACCAGTTCGCCAGCGTTGGTTCTCCTGCCCCCTGCTGCCCCTGCCCTTGCTGCCCCTGCTGCTCCCTCTGCCATCGATCCAGCACCTGCGACAGCAGCACATCGCACTCCTGCATGTCCTCGCTGCTGCAGTTGCTGCTGCTGTCGCTGCTGCTGTCCCCGCCACTGCTGCTGCTGCTGCTGCTGCACGTGCTGCTGCTGCAGGAAGCAGAAGAGGGAGATGTGACGACGCCACTGCCGCTGCTACTGCTACTGCCGTAGCAGAAGGGGTCCGGGAGAGCCAGGATCTCCTGCACCACGGCTTCAGCAGCGGCGCTGTGGTTGCCCGAGTGTGCGCCCACTCGCCCGTGGTGGAACTTGGACACTGTGCGCGCAGGCCTCCTCCTGCTGAAGTCCCCGCCCAAAGCTGCACGGACGGAAAACCAGGTCACGGATTGGGTTAGGGTTATGTGTGTGAGGTGAGTTGAGTTGAGTCTTTTGCAACGGCCCAGAAGTGGGGGACGGGGGGGAAGGGTAGAGGGGAACGGGTGCGGGGCCGGGAGGAGGGTGGAGAGGGTAAAACCTGGGGAAGAGCAAGAAACGAGGGAGCCTAACTAGCAGGAAAGGAGGGAACTTAACGTGGCTACGTACTTACCGCCAATGGCCAGGGGGACGCTGGCCTCAGCGAAGCTCCTCGCAGACGCTGCCACGGCTGCTGCCGCAGCCTCCGCAGCAGCCGCCGCTGCCGCCGCGTTTGTCGCGCTGGCAGCCAGCGCCGTGCCGCCACTGATCCCCCCTGCTGCCTTCCCCACTCCCACTACTGCTGCCGTCGCTGAGGCCGCTGCCGCTGATGCCGCCGCAGCCGCCGCGGTCATCACTCCGCCTCCTCCGCCTTTCCCTCCTTTTCCTCGCCTTAACTCACCGCCCCCTGCTCTAGACCAGTTTGCGCCTGCGCCAGCTGCGCCTGCGCTAGCTGCGCCTGCACCCGCGCCAGAAATCCTACCCGCGGGCCCCGCGCGTCCCCCAATCTCACCCGCCCTGCCGACTCCCCCAAACGCGCGGCTTCCCCCGCGGAACGGGCCGTGCGCGGAGCCTCCGGAAGAACCGAATCCGGCGGAAGCGGCGGCGGCGGCAGCCGCAGCCGCTGCTGCGCCAGACGCGGAGCCGGCGGAAGCAAGTCCGCCTGTGGCCGGCGGAACGACCAGCGCGGCAGCGCGAGCCCCCGACAAGCGCGCAGAAGCATGGTGCTGGTGGTGATAGTGCTGCTGCTGCTGGTGGTGGTGCTGCTGGTTCTGGTGACGCTGATGGTGGAAGGATTGGGCAGGGCTGTGATGGTTCTGGTGAGAATGACCCATGGCTCCTCCCATCCGCACTATACCCGTACCTCCAGGCCTACCCAGCTTCTCATCGTCCAAAGTAGCTTCCAAACCTCCTGTTCCCGAGGCTCGAGGAGTGCCGGACCGAGCAGACGAAGGGCCGCGGGGGTGCTGGTGGTAACCACCTCCGCTTCCGCCATGCGCGTGGGTGCTTCCGGCAGGCCCGTGCGGGCGCAGCCCCGCTGCCCCGCGGAAGGGGCGCGGCCCGGAGGGCCCCGCCGGTGTCGGAAGCGCGGAACGGAGGGTGATTATAGAGAGCGGGGTCGAGGGGGAGGAGGAGGGCGCGAACAGGCGCGTTCCTATATCGAGCAGCTTCGATCGGCACGCAAGAAGCAGACGAGGATGGAGATTCACGAAAAGGTTCGCCATGGCTCCTCCTGCACCTGCACCTGCTCCTGCCCCTGTCCCTGCGCCTGTCGCCCCTCCTCCTAATCCTGCTCCTAATCCAGACGTGGATAAGGAAAAAGCGGCTCCTTGTCCTCTCACAATGCTGACCTGCCGGCCAACCACACTGAAACGAGTCGCCTCTTCCTCTGTCTCTTCCGCCTCCTCCTCCGCATCATCTTCCCCCTCAACATCGCCGTCTCCGACCACGCGCACTTTCCTGGTCGCCTTCCGGGGTTTCCGGACCTTCTTAGGCCCGTCCCGCTTGCCGAAGCGGGCGATAAAGCGGGTCGCCGCAGAGACAACCGCGGCGCCTGGTCCGCCAGGGGGAAGGAAGCCGAGAGGAAGCTTCTGGAAGGTCGACGCGGCGCTGCGAAGCCGAACTATAGCGGCGGGGGCAAGAGTACCCCCGGGAGACACGGGCATGGCTACTGCTGCTGCAGGTGCTGTTGGAGCTGCTCCTGCAGATGAGGAAACAGCAGCACGCGACGAGCGCTTTAGGTCGTCCAGCCTGTCGGACTAAGAGATCCTAAGTACGCGCAACAGAAGAATTTGGTATCCAATAGCGCCCGTGAAATTCGCAGCTTCAGAGAGGGTCTGGAAACTCACAGATGCAGGGTGAGGGGCGGTGGGGGGTTTGAAATAGAACCCTAAATGGGAGTCTTGAGAGGGGGCGACGACACAATGTGGAATGCAGCTTCGGCTAACAGACAAACTCCACTCAGAAAAACGGCAAACGCCTAACGGCTGGAAGAAAAGCCAACGATTGGTGCTGCTGGGGGCAGCATAAGAGGAATTGAAGTACTAGGGAACAAACACTCCCAACGGAATGTAATAGCGGGCCACTGATTAGATGTGGACGGGCTGACTGCTATACAGTCATGCGCGAATTCCGCGACGGCTAATTAGAGGCTGATAACGGATGCAACGGATAAGTACACGTCCAGCCTAATCTGATGGTAATGGCTGCCTTCGCGAAAAGCGGTTCTGAGGGTAAGTAGTAGCTGTTTCTCCGTCCCCTTGCAAGGCCATCCTAAATGGCCGCCCGTTTGAGGAAAACGGCGGAGCTCAGGAGCTTGGCGAATCTTAGAAAATAGTAGAGCAAGGAGGACCACGAGAGGAGACGGATGACTAGGCGTATGTCAGCTCTTGGGAAGTTGAGGCAGAAACGGCTGCAAGTGCGGAAGCAGCAGCAGGAAGTTCGGGCTTTGACTGAAGATGTGTTGAAGTGGTGGCAATATGACAACAGTCGGTATATTACGGTGCGTTTGGAAACCACCAGCTTCTGAGATCTCAGTGGCAAAATCGAGGCTCTTCTGCTTGTGGTCCCAACGAAGCAGAGATGCCGACCAGCTGTGCGAGGAAGAAACCCAGCCAGACCTTGTTGCGACGGCTCCACGAAAATGTACCGCGAAAATGTTACCAGACTGGCATGCAAGTTGCAACGGTCTGGTGAGGCTGATGTGATGTGACGTAGGAACTTACGAAGCAGAGAATGGCGAGGTTAGGTAAAGGTTCGGAGGCTTACCGAGCCAGACGCTGCTTTAGAAAGTGAGGTATGAACGTATCTGTCAGTCCATGGGCTAGGCCTAGTCTGAACATGGAATGATTCAGAATGACACCACCAGACCAATGGAAACCCTTCGGCCCCCATATGGTGATTCACCAGAGCCACAATATCTTCCTCAGCGATGGTCGCATCGCATCGCATGTATGGAAATGACGTTCATAAAGCCTCGTTGCACTTCTGTGAGTCCTCGTTGCTCCCTCACACGCACAGCTGATTGTTTTATGTATCATTTAGCTGCCGAACCAGAACGCAATTTTGTGGTTGAGACATGAGCACGTGTATGTACAGTGACTGCTTCGGGTAGATGCGAGGATGAACTGACCAGCCAAAGCCGAACCGAGGAGCTTTGATTTGGTCTGTTGCTTCTCTTCCACGCAAGCTTGAAAGCGTTCCGTTTCTGTGACCAGTTATGCGACAATGGTACATGATTGTAATCATCGGTTAAGAAAACCGCTTGGAATCATAACAGCAAAACATGGAAGAAACAATAATCTTGCATATTCAACAAACGGTATGTCTTTTTGTTTACGATACGCCACTTACGTATTGAGATTCTAGCTAAGCATGGGAGCCAATCACCTGCTATTGTGGTAACTTCGAATTATGTACAAGCCATGGCAAGCAGGGGAAACAACAGCAGAGCACTAAGGTACTCTCAGCACCTTCATCGCAGCAGCACGCCTGGCAGCTTGAGACATATCCACAACTTCAAAATTTCTTCCATGCACACCATGGAGCGAATGCAGATCATCGTTATCCCATCCTTCGTTGGGTGCACCAGTAATGTACCACGGAGAGCCATTGTCCGCTAGCATCATGCCATATGTCTGGAGCGCTTTCAGGACTACGCGGGCTTGAGGGGGGAACTTGGACGTATTGAAGGACTGGTGGATGGAAACACAGGGAACGAGGGGGGAAAGTGGAGCGATAGTAAGCACAGGGCATTGGAGCAGTGATGGAGAAACAGGCCAGCCAAGTTCACATGAGTTCCCGGAGCAAACTCTGTGTTAAACCACAAGACATCCACATTCCGCCTTGACAAGCCAACCCACGTCACACCCCATCTCAATTCCCACCCTCTTATCTCAGAAAATCCCCTTCCCCTCCTCATCCAGCTGCCCTCTTCCCCTTCTCCCTCCCCTCCTCCCCCCTCCCCTCCCTCTCCCGCACTCTTTCTCCCATGTTCCCACTGCCGTGCCGCCATCTTCACCCTCACCTTCTTGAGCCGCACTCGGATGCCCATGGGGGGCTGTCTGCGGTCGGTGTTGCTGCTGGCGTAGTGCCGTGCAGGCCACACGTACTTGCGCTGGGTGCTGCTAGCTGTGAACCGCAGTGCATGCCGGATGGCACCACCTTGCACCTCCTCGAACCGCGTCAGACCTGGGAGAATCTGTGGTGCAATCGGCAAGGAAGGGACCAAGAAATGGTTGGCGGGATTCTTGAGATGATTCTAAACAGGGACTGGCTTACAGTAATTTCAAGTAGCACCACCATTCCAGGCACCAGCGCTGCAACATTCAAACCATGTTCCGACCCCACTCCCACTACACTTTCACCCAGCATTCTCAACCGCTCTCACCGGCAGGCCGGCAGCATCAGCGGAGGTCCAACCCGCGGGTCGGAGCTTGTTGGACGTCAGATTTTATACAGCCCCACTCCCTGCTGACACTGCAATCAGGTGGCCGGGCCACGGGTGGTAGGGGTTCATCAGGGAGGGAGTAGAGGGAGTGATCACTGGTAAAGGTTTAAAAAACGTAACACACAGCAGCGGGGCGACAGCGGCAGCAGCAGCAGCAGCAGCAGTGCAAATTGGGCGCACTGACCTTGCGAGTTCAACTGCGAGTAGTCGTAGATCTCGTACAGCATGCACCGGTCCGTGTCCACCAGCAGCACGTGGTGGTCCGACCCCCCCTCCACTAACGGGGAAGCTGGTAAGGGGTACGGCCCAGGGTCGCTTTCATCGGGGTAGTAGAACGTCGGCGAGGTGGTGGGCGTGGAGCTGCTCACGAGATTCACGGGAATGCCGATGGGGTTCCCGTCCCACAGGCCTGCAGTGGTGTGCACGGGAGGGAGTGGGCAGGACGTGCTTTTGAGTCGACTCAAAAGGGGTCGCTTTCATCGGGGTAGTAGAAAGTCGGCGAGGTGGTGGGCGTGGAGTTAGTCCCGAGTTTCACGGGAATGCCGATGGGATTTCCATCCCACAAGCCTGCAGTGGTACGACATGCAAGGGAGAGAATGGGGGGGACGTGGAGGAGGGAGGGAGGAAGGGCGAAGGGAGGATGAGGAGAGGGGAATGAAAGAAGAGGTAGAGAGTACGGTGACACGTGCGTTTGCCAGTCTGGAGAAGATAAAGCTGTGATAGGAGAAAGGGGAGAATGGTTGGAAAGGGATTGCGGATTGTGAGGAAGCGGTGACGAGAAGAGAGGAGTGTTGCTTGAGTCTTGACGCTATTGTTGGTAAGATGAGTTGTCAAGTACCTGAGCCGAAGTCCGCGTGCACGTGCGCGTCGAGTCCGATAGACGCGAGGTACGCCTTAGACATGGCGTGCACGGGTAGTTTGTCGACGCGCATGTTCCACACGTTGTTCGCGGGGAACACCGCGCATCCCGCCACTTCAGGCGGCGGACCCGACGGCGGCTCGGGGGTTGTACGGCGAGCGTGGGAGCAGAACGAGCGGTGCAGGAAGCAGGGGAGGTCGCTCGCGAGGGAAGGCGGGGAGGTGACGAGGAGGAGGAGCAGGAAGAGGAGGAGGAGGGGAAAGGGGAATCGAAGCGGGAAGTAGGGGGAATGTCGGAGTGGAGGACGCGCGATTGTGGCGACGCAGACGGAAGCTCGGCTCCCCATGGAGGATGGACGCGCGGATGTCATGAAATGCAGCGACACGACGGTTATGTGCGATGCTATTGCTTGGGAAACGGCGGCTCTCGTGTTTCTCCTTGCAGCGTTGATACGCAAACGGTGACGCTACATAATGCGCAGGGCATATATGAACGACCTTGCAGGTTAGCGGGTCTGCTAACGCAATTGCACTGTTGCCTCAAAAAAAATATTGCATGAAGAGGGCCGGCCAGAACAGAAGAAAAGTAGGTGGAAGTAGATGGCGGGGCGGCGCCGCTACTGTGAGGGAAGGAAAGGGAGTGGAAAATCACATCGAGTACAACAGGGAAGTTCGCCACGAACGCAGTTGCGAAAGGCGTTACATTCTTTCAAGGATTCTTTTGTTGGGTTGTTGCAACATCGTTCAGCTGATACCTTAATGTCTAGGGTTTGGGGTTTCTGGCTGACCAAACCACGCGTATAGAGTCCATCCATAACGGAGATGATTCAAGCCGCGAATCCTGTCAGCTCGTGGCTCGGGTGGTGCCGAACCCGCCAAATGCACATCTCGATTTTCAGCGCTGTCTGTGTGTTCGTTCGAAAAAGGGCAGGGCAGGGCCCACTAGACCAGAAGCCCACCAGACCGTTGGTATGTTTGCTTTGGGCCTGGTTCCGTTGGCATCTCGGTGAAAATTCAACCCGCGCATAAATATCTCGGAACCGACCGTGAAGTGCCCCCGCGGTAGAGAAAGTGGTACGCGTCGCAAAAAGCAGGAGAAAAACAAACAGAAATAGATTTCGGAAAGTGGATTTTGAAAACTGGTCACACTGGGAGAAAACTTGCAGATTTATCACCAGCAAGTTTCCTGGGCAAACCCATCTCCCACCCAAACGGAGATTCAGCGAGTAAAGCCAACTAAAGGCTTCGTGTATGCCCGTTCGAGTCAAGGCAGCGTTCCTAGACAATAGCGACGGGCAACTTTTGGCAGTGTTGGGTTCAGAAGTTTTTTTTTTGAACCAGGCTTGCCAGCGCGAAAGTGCTGGCTGGCGAAAACCAGGATTTCGTGCGGACACTTTCCATCCGCAGTAACAGTTCGCCAGGGTTCTGGGTTTTGGGTGGCAAATGTGCACCGTCGCTTTAAAGACCGCACAAGCCTTTATTTGTGAGCGACATAGCCAAGAGTAGGTCTCGACTGGGGCAAAGATTGCGAAGCAATATCATGAGCAGTCGTGAGGAAACACGGTCAGAACAGACCTAGTTCTTCAAGAGTCTCCCATCCCGTCAGCTTTCTTGCAGCGGTTGCTTCAATCGACGCATTCAGAAGCGCCGCATAAGGCTCCTCTAAACGTTTCGAGAAAGCCTCGTGCCGTCAACTTCCCCTCGCGGTCGTACCGTTCGCACCGTCGCACACAAAGAACCAAGGCCTCCCCGTAGGCGTTTCGCTTTCTGTGGCTTAATCACGGTCATCAAAGCCCCGTCTCGTTGGGCCACCGCATGAGAGCCACCGACTTCGCCCCACCGCACGGCTCCGCTGGGCTAGTAGCAGAATCTGACCCTCCAGCCCGTCTGGCGACGGCAGCCGCAGCAGCCGCAGCAGCGACTGCAGGAACACTGCCAGATAGAAAACTTCTAGGGATTAAGGGTTTCCTGGCGAACGATACGAGAGCGAAGGGGTGGGGCGAGGGGGAGGGGGAGGGGGAGGCGGGGAGGTAATCAACGGAGACATCTGTCGTTGTGAAGAATTCCCAACAGAGGCCTCTCTGTGTCCGCATGTAGAAGCCAGCCAATATCTGCGTAAACTGGCTGTATGAGGTCGTAATCGCGCTAGAAACCGACGTTTTCATCCTGCTCGGAAAAGCGTTCGGAAACGATTCGCGTTATTTCAAGGCGAGAGATTGCAGCGGTGCCGCCGCCGCCGCGGTCGTGGGCGTCATGGGGGACAAGGGCGCGACGAGGGGCTTCATCACGACGATTGCGCAGGGGCTGCCCGGGAAGTGGTTCCTAGTGGTGTCCACGGCGTCGCTCTCGTCCGGCGCCATCTCGCCCTCCTTCCTCTCCTGGAACGAATTCCAAGAGTGGTGGTGGCCGCAGCAACAGTGAGCCTTTCCCGCTTTTCCCTTGTTTTGAGACGTCCTACATGTCGAGTTTTGAGAAATCTCAGATTTTCTGTTTGGAGACGTCTCAAAACTCTCGTCCTGGGGGGGGCATCTCGCTCTTCTTCCACTTCTGGAACGAGTTTCAAGAGTGGTGTTGGCCGCAGCAACAGCGAGCCGCCTCTTCGCCTCAACCCCTGTTTTGAGACGTCTCGCCTCTTGACTTTTGAGACGTCACAGATTCTGTTTTTGGAACGTCTCAAAACTCTTATGTGGCGCCATCTCGCCCTCCTTCCTCTCCTGGAACGAGTTCCAAAAATCGTGGTGGCCGCAGCAGCAGTGAACCGCCGTCTCCTCCCCCCTACGGCTTCTGCTCTCCACCTGTGCTTTCCTCCCTCCCTCCCTCCCTCCCTCCCTCCCTCCCTCCCTCCCTCCCTCCCTCCCTCCCTCCCTCCCTCCCTCCCTCCCTCCCTCCCTCATTCCTTCATTCCCTCCGTCCCTCCGTGTCTTACTCTCGCTGCAGCTTTGCTTAGGGTTGTTATCCCTCCTCTCCATCTCCTCCTCTCTCCACTTGTTATCCCTTTTCCCAAACCACTCCTCACCCTCCCGCCACCCCGTCTCCACCCCTCCCCACCCGCTCCCCAACCCCCCACTCCTCCGCTCTCCCCTCGCCGCCACCCCCCGCCGTGCGCTAGTCAAATCGTGGCCGTGGGGTACGGCTGCAACGTGTGGCGCGCAGCGTACGCGTCGCACGTGTTCGCGCTGCAGACGTGCAACTTCTTCCCGTCCTTCGACGCGGCCTCCAAGTACATCGTGCGCCAGTCGGAGCAGGGCCTGCGCGTGACGGCGCTGGCGCAGGGCGCGGGGCAGTGGTTCGTGGTCATGAGCAAGGGCGGCGCCATGCCCGCGCTCTCGCAGGGGCTCGTCTGCTCCACCAGCCTAGCGGATTTCATCCGCACGTTCCAGCGGGTGCGTGCGTTGTGCGCGTGAGCCTCTGCGTGTCTGTATGTGCGTTTTCTTGCCTTTTCCTACTCTTGAGGCGCCCTCGAGTGTTGCAGGGCCTCGCCTGCTCCACGAGCCTCCCGGATTTCAACCAGACGTTCCAGAGGTTGACGGCGCGTGCGTGCGCTGCATGAGAAACATGCTTCCAAGCAGTCTCAAAACTCCTCTCCACAGTTTGCCCTCTCGTTATTTCCTCCCCCCTCCTCCTTTACATTTACCCCTATTCCCACTCGGCCCCTCCCCTTTTCCTCCCCCACCTTTCCTCTTCCCCCTTCCCGCCCGTCCCTCTCTGCTCTGCCTTGGCAGGGATTTGAGGAGCACGATCGTGTGCCAACGTGTCTCGTGTATGGGGACGGCCGATGGGTGGGTGTATGGAGTGCAGTCAGGGAGGGCGTAGTGGCAGGCGCTGGCACAAGCGGCGGCAGCAGCAGCATCAGCAGCGGAGGCAGCAGTCTGACTTCCCTTCACCACAACAGCAGCAGCGGCAGCGGCAGCAGCATCACCAGCGTGTTTGGCAGCATGGGATTCGGAGCCGGAAGTGCATCGAGCGGCGGTGGCAGCAGCGGCAACGGCCATGCGCATGGGAGCAGCGTGACGCCTCCACCGCACGTGGTTACCAGTAGCAACACCAGCAGCAGCGGCAGCAGCAGTGGTGGTGGTGGTGGTAGTGGTGGGGTTGGTGGTAGCGGTGTTGGTGGTAGCACGGGGCAGCAGAGCAGGTCGCTCAAGTTTGTGATGGTGAAGCAGTCCTCTGATAACGCCCTGGTGCTGAATGCTCTGGAGGATTCGTACTCCATACTGGCTGTTGCATCATCGCCCACAGCCACTCTTGTGGCCCTCGTCAAGGTGCGCCTAATGCTGCTGCTGCTGCTGCTGCTGCTGCTGCTGCTGCTGCTGCTGCTGCTGCTGCTGCTGCTGCTGCTGCTGCTGCTGCTGCTGCTGCTGCTGCTGCTGCTGCTGCTGCTGCTGCTGCTGCTGCTGCTGCTGCTGCTGCTGCTGCTGCTGCTGCCACTGCCTCTGCGACGGCTCGGGCTCATCCAATGGGTGGATAGTGAACAACATCAGCGACCGCACGCCCTGCTGGTACTCCATGCTCTCATGTATGCCTGCCCATCCCTTTCCACACACACACCCCCCACCCGCTCTCCCCATTGCAGCCAGCGTTGTACCGCAGTCAAGTAGCCTACCACTGAGACGGGTCGGGCTCGTCCAACGGGTGGATAGTGAACAACATCAGCGACCGCACGCCCTGCTGGTACTCCATCCTCTCGTCTCCCACATGTCCTTCCATGCCCCCCCATGCCCCCCCATGGCCCCCCATGCCCCCCCATGCCCTCCCACATGCCTCCAATTGCAGCCAGCGTTGTACCGCAGTCAAGTAGCCTACCACTGCGACGGCTCAGGCTCGTCCAACGGGTGGATAGTGAACAACATCAGCGACCGCACGCCGTGCTGGTACTCGCAGCTCACACTCGACTCGCCCGCACACCGCCAGGAGTTTGCCCTTCACCGCACCGTGCTCGCATCCTCCTCTGCTGCTCTCTTCCGCCGCCCCACGCCCCCGTCCCCCTCGGCGCAGACTCCTGCCACTGGGACTGGTGGGAGTGGAACGGGAGGAGGGGGAGCGGGAGGGTCCGGAGGGGGTGGTGGGAGTGGCGGTGGTGGCGGTGGTGGTGGTGGTGGTGGGGTGGGAGGTTTTTTTGGGCGGTCTGCGTCAGCAGCAGTGAGCCAAGGGACGCTGACTGCCACTATTGTGACGCGAGGGGGCAGCAGTGCAAGCAGCGGTGGTGCAGTGGGGTTGAGAGGAGAAGAAGGAGGAGGAAGTGGGCATGGAGGAGGCGTGAGTGGAGGAGGAGGGAGGGGAGAAGGGGGAGGAGGGATGGCAGCGAGTGGGTGTGTGCCTCTTGTGTCGCATGCTAGTCCCAGCCGGTCGCCTTCTCCTGAGATTGGATGGTTGGAGTCGAGTAATGGAGGTGCTGCTGCTGGTGGTGGGGGGAGCGGAAGCAGCAGTAGTAACGGCAGTGGCAGTGGTAGTGGTGTCCTTAAAGACCTCCCACAGCAGCATCACCAGCAACAGCAGCAGCAGCAGCAGCAGCAACAGGGCGGTGCGTTGCCAGGCAGAGCAGTCACACCAACAAGACGAGCAGCTGGAGGAGGAGCAGCAGGAGCAGCGGCAGGAACAGCAGCAGGGGCAGTGGGGCAAGGCACGGGTGGGGCAGGGCAGGGGTCAGCAGTAGCAGAGGCAGCGCCACAGCACGTGATGGTGGGAGGGTACGTTCACCCTCTCATCAAGCCAGGGCCCTTTGCCGGACTCTGCATCCTGCCTTAGTGGACCCACCTTGTGGGTCGTGTTGCCTACCCACATCCATCCTGCCTCCCACTTGTGCTGCTTCCTCCACTAACACACAATCTCATGCCCAGGGCTGTTCCCCGAGGTTACATGCTCGGTTGTGATGAAGGATTGAAGGCATAACTTGGAATTTACTGGGGATATTTTCGGCTGATTCTGACTGGATACAATACAAGAAACTCAGTGATTGTTTATTGAAACGCCTAAGTTTCCTTCCCTTCCAAGCTTCATGCCACCCCCTTTCCCCTTCCCTCGTACCCTGACAAACTGAGGCCTCCCTACTGCCTTCTCGGTCGTTCTTTTCTTCATTGACCGATTGGCCCACTACCGTACCAGCACATGAAGGCAATAATGCATCAGCAAGCGCATATATCTCATAGCATGGGGATTCCGGAGTGGAAACAATGCAATGCAATGTGAAGTGAACCATAACCTTATCACAAACATGTATAAGCACCGTATGAGACCTATATAACTTGGCACACATTCAGGCACCAGTGTTTAGCATAGCACCTACCAAGGCACATTTTCAAGTACTCTCACTCACTCTCCTAACCACCTATCTCAACCCTCCTCCCTTCCCTTCACATTCCCCCCTTCCCCTCCCCTCCATTCAAATATACTTGTACAGCCCCCAGGCTAAACTAAGACCATCACCATACCCCTTTCTCCCATACCCCATCCCTTATTCCGCACCAATTATCCCTCACGTGCGGCACGGCACAGCAGACGGACCCACATCGTAGAACACAGTCGCACGCATCGCCACACCTTCCCCTCCCTCCAGCAGGGGCGGGTGCGTGAAGCACCTTAGCTCAAACACCAGGGAAGAGAAGGACGACTCAGCCGGGCCAAAAAACACCGCAGCCTCCCTCGCCACTGCTTGTTCCACCGCAGCCTGCATCTCATGCTCCGGGTGGAGCGCAGATAAGAACCTCTGTGCATCGGAGGTTGCTGCGGAACGGTCGGAGCGTAAGAGGGCGTCACGAGTGGTAATGTGAAAGGAAGCGGAGGTGAGGCGGTTCAGGATGGCTGCGCGCTGAGGCGTGTCGCCGATCGTGACGTAGAGGAGGGTGTGGGCGGGGTTGAGCACTGCAAGCAGGACAGACAGCAGCCGGTCAGTGCTGCTGCCGCCACTACTTCCACTGCTGCTGCTGCTGCTGCTGTTGCCGCTGCTGCTGTTGCCGAGGATACCGTTACCACCGCCAGGAGCAGCGGCGAAAGCAGAGGCTTCTGCGAGTGAGTCTGGGTTGATGTGCACGACTGCAAAGGAGAAGCCAACTAGCTCACCGAATTGCGCCTCGTGGGTCTTGCGCAGCAGGTGCAGGAGGTGTGCGGAGAGCGATGCAATGGGCTGCGCAGGGCGCATGGCTGCTAAGCCGTTGCGGCGCAGGTGCTGCTGGTCGCGCGAGGTGAAGGGGATGGGCGTGTCCGCGTCCAGGAGAATGAGCTTGACCTGGTGGGGTCGGGGGAAGAGCGATGGGAATGCACAGCAAGGGATGGGACGGAATTTGAAGTGTGCAAATGGTTAGTGAGGGAGAGCGAGGTGAAGGGGATGGGCGTGTCTGCATCCACGAGAATGAGCTTGACCTGGTGGGGTTGGGGGAAGAGAGGCGGGAAGGCATAGGAAAGGATGCGACCAGGGGAGGGGAGGGATGGAAGGTGAACAAGTGGTTAGTTAGTGGTGGGACAGAGAGCGAGGTGAAGGGGATGGGCGTGTCTGCGTCCAGAAGAATGAGCTTGACCTGGTGGGGTCGGGGAGGGGACAGGAACAGGAAGGGACCAGACGGGGAGGGGAGGAGGGTAAGGAGTGGGGGTGAGGAACTGTTGGCTCTTTTGCACCTTGAGCAAGGAGAGCATGAGCACGAGCCCATGCGTCACTATCTATCTACACCCCAAGCACCTCCTTCCCTTGCCCAGCATCCTTCCCTCATCTTCTCATCCTTCCTCGCTCACTCGCTGTCCTCCTCGTCCGCCCTCTACCACTCCCATCACCTCCTGATTCTCACCTTCCCAGCTGCAGCATCATCTCTCATCTTCTCACTCCAAGCAGCTATAACAGAAGCGGCATCACCACCGCCACCGCCGCCACCACCACCACCGGCGCTCAACGCAGCAACTACTTTGGAAGGAATGCGCTGCGCTGCAGGTCCCAGAGCTTGCACAAGCGCAGGCATGTTGGCAGCCGTGGCGTTTGCGGGAAGAGAGGCTACGATGGAGGCCGGTAAATGGTCAACCGCCCAGGACTCTGGAGGGGGAAGGGGAAGGAGGAGAGGAAGAGTGGAGAAGAGGTGGCATAAGTGGAGGTTAGGTCGTAGGCTGAGGCATGGGGCATACAGTGACGGAAGCAGGGGGGGGTGATTTGAAATAGATGAACAGGGAGAATGACTTGTTGGCTCATTTACAAGAGCGATGCATGAGAGGCGGGAATGCTGGATGACTTGCACGTGTAAGAGACATGGGAAGAGCGTGGGGAGAAGGTTGGGAGAAGGTTGGGAGAAGGTCCTTGGAGCTTACTGGAAGAGCAGTACATCTGTTGGTGGGGAAGAACAAGCCCCAAGGTGGAGATTAGGGAGGGTCAGCAGCATTGTCATTGCCGTTGTCATGGTTGTTGCAGCACATGTCAAGGACACAGAGAGCACAAAGGCCGTGCACACAGAGAGACAGAGAGACAGAGGGTGGGAAACGAATGCTTGTTTGAGTAAGCAAGAGGGTATTGAGACGACATGGGGAATGCTTGCACGAGCGAGTAATGGACTCCAATGCACGCGAGGCAAACCAGAGTATAACCAGCATGTGCCACTCACATGAGTAACGAGTCTGTCTGTATCGAGGTATTGCTGCAGCTTCGTCTGCTTCATGCCGCCCGAATCGAAGCTCAGGAAAAAGGGCGGCAGCAGCAGCACGGATCCCGTCGCCTTTGCTGCCCACAAGCCACGTAAGAGCGCCTCCTGCTGACGTGTAAAGCCTGGCCGCACACCCAAGAGCGCGAGATAGGGCCACGAGGACTGGGCAGCTGCAGGGGACGAATTGGGGGGAGGGGGGGAGGAGGGGGAGAGGAGAGATAGCTAAAGCAACAGGGGAAAAACGGTGGACGCGGAAAACACAAAGACGTGTACTGCAAATCACACAATCGTTTTCAGGTGGCACTTGTGCACGCAACGTACCCATGTCAGCGAGCTTGCCGGGCTCAATGCAAGCGCGGAAATCAGCAGCCATGGCGTCGTCAGGCACCTCATCGCCTTGCGCCGCGTCGTTCGCCTTACCCTCCCCCTTCTTCCTCTGTTGCTCCGCTCTCGCGCGCGCTTCCCCCTCCGCCTGTAGCTGCTGAACCCCGCCTGCCACGTGTCCGAAGCCGGACGTTTGTGATGCACCGGCGGTTGTAGCTGGGGATGTAGCAGAGGCTGTAACAGCGGCTGTAGCAGAGGTTGCAGCAGAGGCTGTGGCAGCAGCTTTAGCAGCGGTTGCTGCAGGGACTGTCGCAACGGCTGTAGCAGAGGCTGGGCTTGAAGCAGTGCTAGCAGCAACGCCAGGGACACTGCTTGTAGCTGCGGCCTTGGTACCAGCCACGGAAACACTTCCAGGAACATCCATAGCGCCTGTGACAGCTGTAGCAGCTGAAGCGCCTGTCGCGTTGCCGGAACCAGTACGTGTGTCCGGAATCTGCGCCCCACCGCCCGCCTCCAGCTCTCCCTGGAGTTCCGCCTGCCCTGCAGTCCCCGCAGTCTTCGCCGCTGGCCCGCCTACCGCCTCTGCTGCCCCCGCATCTACCGGCGCACCTGGCCGCCCTGTCCGCGCGCGATCCTCCTGGACCTCTTGCGCCACTGCACCTTCCGCAATTACTCCTTGACTCTGCGGCGGAACTTGCCTCTCCGCCACCATTTGCCCCGCCGCCGCTACAAACCCGTCCGCCTCCACTTGTCTCTCCGCCGCCACTTGCCCTTCCACTTCCGCGTTCCCTGCAGCGGTGCTGTACCCGCGGGACTCTTCCGCGTTCCCATCCACCTCCGCGGCCGCCGCTCCGCGGATATCTTCCGCGGCACCCACTCCGACTTCCGCTCCCCACGTCTCTGCGCCACCCTGGGCAGAATCTGCCCCCCATTGCGCTGCAGGCGGCTGCTGCTGCCCCTCCGCCGAGCGCACCTGCTGCGCTTCCGTCTGAGCCAGGTTCACACCAGTCTCTCCTCCCGCAGCCATCGCTTCTTCCGCGTTTCCCTCCGCCTCTTGCGCGGCCACAGCGGACCCGTCGGGCAGGTCTTGCGGCTTCGCATCCGTCCCAGCTTCGGATGAACCATCTGGCTCTTGTAGCGGGGTCAGCGGCGGATTCTGCGGCGGCACAAACGGCATGTCCAACGGCGGTTCCTGCGGCAGCTCAGGCGCTTCTTCTTGCTGCTGCTGCTGTTGCTGTTGCTGCTGCTCCACCGGTTGGGTGTGCGGAACTAGCAGAGCGCTATCTTGTGGCTCGAAGTGCACCATAGACTGCTGCTGCTGCTCCAGTTGCTGCTGCAGCTGCTGCTGCTGCTGTTGCTCCGGCTGATACGGCAGTGCGTCGCTTTGAGATGGCTGTTGCTGCTGCTGCTGAGCGTAAGCTGCGGCGGCTGATCCTGCTTCCCCGATTCCGCCTTCAGCGCCGACTGCGGCGCCATCCGCGGCACTCGGAAACGCCGTCTCTCCGCCCATCTGCTGCTGCGCGGCATTCACCGCGCGCTGGTACAGCGGGCCGAGGTTCCCCATGGCGGGAAGACACTTGTCACCGCACTGCGGGATGAAGAGACACGGCACGAACGGACAAGGGGAGCGATGAGAAGGAGAGATACCGAGGAAGCAAGGGGGGAAAAGGTCGCTCGGAGGCAGGGAGGCAGGTTAGCTGGTGGGCAGGTTAGCTGGTGGGCGGACCACGCGTCAGAAATCATGCCGCAACGAGCACTGGGACCTTGTGACCTGCCAATCGGAACTGCGAGCATTGACAGGAATCGATTGACGCTCGGTACGCGACTCTGCAACGGTTTCCTGACTTTCGTACCGCGAAGAGGTCGCTGACGTCCAGAGGCGCGTTGAGTAGCGTGACGGGCAGCACGGCGCGCAGAGGTGCGAGCAGCGGAGCCAGCAGAGGTACGAGGATGGCAAGCGCTGCTCGCAGAATGCGCCCAACATGCATGCATAATGAGTCGTCCACAACTCTTGTATCGCGAATGCCAATGCGTCTCACCACTAGGCTCTCTCGAACGGGTCCGTCCAACTTACAGGGAGCAGGTCGCTGGCGTCGAGTAGCGCGTAGAGAAGCGCGGCGAGGATCACCAGCCCGCACATCACGCCGCACACGCGCTGCCATTTGAAGCACGAGCAGCAGAACCACCACAAGCACCCCTCCTCGCCGAACTCGTCCTCCTCATCGTCCACCACCTTCCCGACCCTGCGATAGCCGCCGCGCCCGCTGGAAGAGCGGCCGTTTCCCCCGTAGCCTTGCTCCTCGTCGTTGTCGTCCTCGTCGTCGTAATCGTCGTAGTCGTCGTCGCCGTGCGTCGCACGCCTGGGAACGCGCACCAGACGTTTCCGCTCGTCCTCCCACATCCGTCGGTCGTTCGCGGATACTTTTCCTCCGCCGCCGCCGCCGCCGCTGACGTGGAGTGGGTTGGATCGAGCTGCTGCTCGGAAGGGCGGCTTGACCTTTCCCCGAGGAATTTGCACGTTCCACTTGTCCTTCATTGCACGAGATCAGAAACTGACAGTTTATTCGCTTCCTAGGGTTGCAAGTACGGATTCAAACGAGGTTCAGAGTAAGGATAATGTGTAGTATGTTGGACGTAGTCGGTTCGAAGGTTTCGCGAAACAATGCACAGCCGTGAATTACAGCCGTACGGCCGGATCTGCGGGCTGTTTATTAATATGGCTCAGACACTTGAGTGATCCTGTGCTCGAAAGGAAACTATCGACGCTGGGAGGTAAGGGCAGTGACGGAAGGGATAACCTGGGTATGGCTTTCACTAGAGAGTCGAGCTGAATTGGTTTAGTGCATGGGATGTTGAAGTTCAGTGGAGGTAGGATGGATGGTGAAGCCCAGAAGGAAAGAGTGGCGAAGACATGAAGAAGAGGGAAGATTTGGAGGGTCAAACAGAAGTGGATCGAGTCGCAAATGTGTACAGTGCAACTGAATGAATGTCCAACCCAGGCGTCACGATTGGTCGAACCGCGTCGGAAACCCTTTATAAGCTCCCTACCTATTGTAGCCGTCGATGGTCCCTGCGCTAGGCCGCGTGTGGGGGATTGAGCAGAAAAATATGGTGCAGGTTTGAACTCCACATTCAGGGTTTGACACAAAAATGTTATGTAGGATATATAGGAATTTAGAGAGTTCCGTTAAGATTGTACAGCGGTTGAGTTGTGGAATTGATGGAGATGGCAGACACAGGTTGGGGGGTGGTTCCTCGGGCAGGCCTGGGCAAACAAATATTGACCTACAATTGTGGGAGGGTCAGGTCACATGACTGACTGGTGCTGGAGCATCGAAGCAACAAGCGGTTTGGATTTTGGAATCGGCTTCGACAAATTACTGTCCAATTGGTCGCTGTTGAAGCTTCAAACGGGGGCCTTGACCCAAACCATCCAACTTTGAACGAGATACAAACGAGATACTTCTATCGGAGGCGGAGCACTTCATCAACAAATGCTGGTTGCTTGACGTGCAATTTCACTAGAGACGAACTCGATTGCGTTTTTGTCGAGGAAATCGGTTCTACCTTACATTACTGCATTCTATATCATTGTTCCACATGGATTGGACGTTTTAAATTATTCGGCTCGATCACGGAATTTGATCATAAAATTATTGCACATACTGTCCATAACACACATCAAATATCATTTGGTGTAGGCATAGCACCCAACCATGAACCATGTTCAATTTAGATTCTGTTTCTTTAGCTTGAAAACAAGATCTTACGCATGCTGTATTTTCAGGGTGTTCTTCCTAGGCAACAATTATTATTAGTGTTTTTTCCTGTATGAACGCTGATGGATGAGCCTGGTTCAAAGCAATTCTCGGGGCATGCCAATTTAAGTTTTTTAGTTTATAAAAAGGCCTGATCAATTAAATCAGACCCAGTACAAACCGTAGTCTGAAACCCAGACAAATCAGACAGACAGGTCCTGTAAATGTGATGCCTCCCCTTTCGACACCTCAAGTTCCCCCTTCTGCTCTTGCTTGCAGCTCACTATCAGTTTCGTCTTTTCCACCTCCGTACTTTCTGCCGACTGTTACGGGTGCAACGAATCGAGGTAGCGAGGCTTGTACTAGAGTGTTCAACGAGTACAAAATACGAACGAAGGCATGAGCCAATACATCTACGCGAAAATGTGCAAACGGTAACGCGGTGCGTGCGAGCTAGCTAGTGCTACACTGGTGCGAGGTTCGGGCTAGTCCCGAAGCGTAGGCCGACTCGGCTGCTCCAGCAGTGCGAGGTTTGGTGAAACAGTGCGCGCGAAGGTTGGCGAAGCCCCGTTAGCAGTAACGGGCGAACAACAGCTGCTGCTGTACGCGATGTGGGCGGCCGCGGTAAGGAATAGCTAGAAAATTCCTTACACTAACCCCCCCTCCCCCCTCAAGAAGCCCCCTCCACTACGCGAGTGCGTGTATATCGCGGAAACACCGGCTCCTCAGGTACACTTGCAGGGCAGGGTGGTTTTCGATGTTGGCCAGGGGCACCCAGCTATCCTCGGTTGGCGTGCGGTCCTTCCAGCGAACGAGGAACTCGATCCTCTTGATGCCTGTGGGGTGGCGAATCCGATGGCTCATTTTTTTTTCGGGCTCGATGATCGGCTCCGATGCAGGGCGAGTCATGGATGGCGGGCAGTGACGAGGCAGTTGGCTCATGCTTGGGATGTAAGGGCGAAGCAGGCTAACGTGGAATGATGGGCTGATGTACGAGTCTATCGGCAACAATAAGTGGGCGGTAACTGGGGTGATCATGTGGCTGATTTGAACTAGTCCACAGTAGCGCGGTCGTAATTCTGGTATGACGGGGTGTCGAGCAGTACGTAATCTCCTGACCGGTACGTGACTGGGCGGCAGTGGCGGTCAGCGTCGCACTTAGCGATGACATTGGTTTTTTTAATTGATTTTGTGGCTCTGGTGCGGCAGCTTGTAGAATCTTGGCGAATTGATGTGCTCGTGGCGTTTGGTTGTCCGGACTCGACGTCATGGGCACTCTTGGGTTTTGCCCGTAGTTCAGGTAAAACAATGGCTGCTGCGTCGTCGCTGACGTGGCGTTGTTGTAGGCGAACTCGATCAGTGGCAGCTGCTGCTCCCAAGTTGTCGGGTCGTCACACGTGGCCCGAATCAACTGCTCCATCGTCTGATTGGTCCGCTCCATTTGATCGTCGGTCTCGGGGTGGTACGATGAACTGAACTGTAGCCTAGTCCCAAACTGCTCCCAGAGGTTCTTCCAGAAGCTACTAGTAAAATTCGTGTCGCGGTCGCTTATTATCGCAGCTGGTATCCCGTGAAGTCGAATGACGGGTGCGATGACCAGGCGAGCGGTTTCTTCGGCTGAGATCGATTTCTTGCACGCTGCGAAGTGAGCCATTTTCGTCAGTCTGTCAACGATGACCATAAGTGCGTCGTTACCCCCAGGGTTCGAAGGTAACCCCGTGACGAAATCCATGGTAACTTGCTGCCAGGCGCGCTCGGGCGGTGGAATCCGCTGCAATTGATCCGCCTTTCTCTTCCGCGAGCTCTTCATCACCTGACTCGTAGGACACGAGCCAACGTGGTGCTGTACGTCGGTCAACAGCTCCGGCCAGTAGTAATACCGCTGCAGTTGCTGTCACGTTTTTTCTACCCCGAAGTGGCTTGAGGTAATCCTGTTGTGTGCCTCCTGCGGTAACATTTACCGCAGTAGTGAGTACGCAGGTACCCAAATGCGGTTGGTGCCTGTTTTTACATAATAGAATCAGCTTCTGCCAGTTGCTGTGAATTTCCGGTCGTGAAAAATGGGTCGGTACTGTATTCGTGGGTGAATAGGTCTGTTAACAGCGGGTTGGTTTGGGTGAGTAGGATGGCGTGGAGTTGGGCGGTAGGACGTGTGAGTGCGTCGGCAATGTTTGATGCGCCTTTTTTTTGTACATGACGGTGAAGTGGAAGTTGGACTCCAGATAGTCCAACAAGCAGATCTGTCGCGGGTTGAGATTCGGTTGGGCGCAGAGGTAATGTAGTGATCAGTGATCTGTCCGCACTGTCACGTTGACGCCAGTCAGGTAGCATTGCCACACTTTGAAAGCGTGCACGATCGCCAGCATTTCGCGGTCGTGTATCGGGTAGTTGCGTTTGGGCGGGTGCAGCTTGCGGGACTCGTATGCGATTGGCTGGAGGCCATTCCCGAAGTCCTGCAACAGTACAGCTCCCACGACGATATCACTTGCGTCGGTGACGAGCTCGAACGGACGGTGCGGATCTGCGATGTGAAGCATGGGCGGCGAGCACAAAATTTGTTTGAGGGCCGAGAAGGCAGCTTGCTCTTTCTCCCCCTATGTGTACTCCACCCCCTTCCTCTGCAGGTCGGTCAACGGAGCAGTCAACTTCGCCATGTCGGGGACGAACCGGCGCACGTAGTTGATGAACCCCAAAAAGCTCTGCAACCCAGTCAAGTTTGTTGGCGGGTGCCACGCTTGAATCGTTGCGATCTTCTTCGGGTCTATTTCCACTCCTTCAGCTGAAATAATTTGTCCCAAAAACTCCAGTCTGTCATGTAAAAACTCACACTTAGATGCTTCCGTCAGTAAGCGGTTCTCACTCAGTATTTTAACATCTGCTTCAATGTCGTGAAGATGCTGTGCTCTGTCTGGGCTGTAAATTAGTATGTCGTCGAGGTACACGATGACGCACTTATCTAAAAGCGGACGGAAGGCTTCATTCTTGGTCATTTGAAAGGCTGTAGGGGCGTTGGTCAGTCTGAAGGGCATGACGGTGCATTCGAAGGATCCCAAGCATGTTCGGAAAGCTGTTTCCGGGCAGTCGGGTGGGTTGACTTGGATCTGGTGGTAGCCTCCTCGAAGGAAAATTTTCGAGAAAACCCGGGCTGTGGGTAGTTGGTCGATCAGTTCCTCGGCTCGTGGGATGGGGTAACGGGATTTGATGGTAACCTTGTTAAGTGCGCGGTAATCGATGCACATGCAAAAACCTCTTTCATTTTTCAGTGTGAACAGTATCGGTGCTGCGAAGGGTGACGAACTCGGGCGAATGAATTCCTTCTCGAGCCGGTAATCTAGCTGCTTCCTTAGTTCGTCCAGTTCGGGTTGGGTCAGTCGGAACTGTCGCTATACTGTCGGCTGTGCCCCCGGTTCTAACTCTATCCCGTGGTCGTGCGGTCACTGAGGTGGCAGTCCTGTCGGAAGGTCTAACAAACTGTTAGAATGTTTATATTGTGTAGGCTGTAGTGGGGTAGCCCATAAGAGGTACAACCCAATTAGGGTTAGTACTTGTACCAAATATCTTCTAAATGCAATCATCCCCTCGTCTAGTTTCTGACATGGTTTCAGAGCAGGTCCTGTTCCATGACCGTTTTTTTAGGGCCCACCGATTAGTTCCCTGCCCGTAGCGCCCTGCCCCACCAAACGCGCTGCCCTGCCTTGCCCGACCTGTCACGCTGCCCTGCTGGCTGTGCGCTGCCCTGCCCTGCCCGTCGCGCCGCCTAGCTTGCCGCGCGCCGCCT